CGAACCATCAAGGCTTCTGGCGGAAAACTTGATCTGCCAGGTTTTGCGCCTGTGATTTTGGTTTATGTCTACCTGCATCCTGTGGTTCGACTAAACCAGGAGAACTTTGCCCTCCTTGCCCACTTGGGAATTCTACAGCACCGCTGCAAGTTGCCTCTGTTAGTGGGCGGCGATTTCAACCTCCCCCCCTCCATGCTCCAGCAGACTGATCTCCTTGAGCGCAGCGGATGCTACGTAGTTGCGGCCACGGACTCGACATATTTTACAAAGAAGTCGAAGTCCAAACTCGATTTCTTCCTCATCTCCAAATCGCTCTTCCCGCTTGCGTCAGGCATCACAAGTGATTTAACATTTCGGTCATTGACCAATCCGCCTTCAACCCTCACCCCCTTCCTCGCCTCCTGCCCCTCGCCCAGCCCATCCTAACCCGCCCCCCTGGCGCGTGGGCTCAGGTGAAGGGGCCCTCTCGGCGCAGCCATTCGATCCTTGGCTCGCATAGGGTGGTCGTTTCACACGCCGCTTGTACTGCGGGACCCTGTGGGCAGGAGGTGGCCCCTCACATCCTTTTCTCCCAAGTTCATGGGACTCCAATTCCAAGAGAATTGGGCGCAGAACCATTCCAGCGCCATTGCAGGCAAATTAGAGCAGCCTGCGTCCACTACTTACGATTTCAGCGTGGCCCGGCGTTTAATGCAAGAATGCCGCCAGCAGAAGCACGAGCAAGGGCTACTTCTGTCATTTGTCTGCCAGTCGCTGTGGACAGCACATCAACTCAGGCAGGCAGGGTACGACGTCGACACCACTTGCATTTGCGGGGCGCCTTCCGCCGATAGCATCTCTCATCGCCTCCACTTCTGCCCCTGCACCCGTGGCCTCAGGGATGAAGTGCTCACTGAGGGTGAACAGGCCCTCATCTCTGATTCGGCCAGGAACTTCCCATTTGTGTGCAGGTTCCAGGAGCAGCCAGAGCCAGTGTCCACGCCGTCGCCAGGTACTGGCATTGCCAATCGTCCGTTCTGGTGTGCCGCCGAGGGCACCACCATAGCGGAGGCCTTCATTGGCGATGTGTTCACGGACGGTTCCTGCTTCAAGGATGGGCCCGTCGTTTTCCATGCTGCGGGGTGGGCGGTGGTGAAGCTGACGCCAAGGCGAGCTCTTCGCCGCCCTCTGGGGGGCCGTCGGCGCGGACTACCCGCAGACCTCCCCAGCAGCTGAGCACATTGCCGTCCTCGCGGTAATGCAATTGTGCCCGCGTGCCACTCTTATTTACTAGGATTTTTTAGGGCTCGTCAAGCTCTCGGAGGCTTCGTGGCGGCAGGTGGCGGCCCGGCAGCACATGTACGCTGGCCTCCATATGCAGATTCGGGGATCACCGGCCTGGTCCCACGATTTCCGCATAGTCAAAGTCCCAGCTCACGTGAACCCGTTTGATCTGCCAGCTGGATCTTTGGAGTGGTATCGAGCCGTGGGCAACGACTCTGCTGACAGGTAGCAAAGAGAGGTGCACTCACTGTAGGGCAGCCGTCTGCGTCAGAAATAACGGCATGGATTGAAGAGAGCGCTTCCTTGAGGCGATATCTCATATATGCAGCACGGGCGTTGCTTTCATACCCGAGACTCGCCCCTTCCAAAGCCATGTGCTCCTCTTTCAACGCGCGGCTAAGGGCACCAGGTTTCAAAACGGGCATTGGGGCTGCCCGCCAGGCGCTCCCGTCCCCACCGCCCCTGACCCCGCCCCCGCCACCGCCGCTCCTTTCCCCGCCCGACGCGGCATCCTCGGCAGCTGCTCCGGCGAACGCAGAGGGGCATGCGTGGGCTTGGCGTCGCAACCGTTTGGCGTGTCAGCGCTGTTTGCGCTTTTTTGCGAGCGACCGCAAGCCCGCGCCAAACGTGACGCCGTGCCCAGGGTACAATGCAGCCTTCTCTGCTCTGGTCGCTAACCCAAGGGGGCACCGACTGCATGTAGCAAATTACTCCCATGGTGTCATCTTTTTATTTGCGGCAATTGTGGCGCCTACTCTGAAACTGGCGCTTTGCGTTCTCTGGGAAAGGAATGCCCACCAGGACGCGCTTTCCCGTCCAATGGGGCAAAACACTCCTGGAATCGCTTTGCCAGGGGACAACACCCCAACTCGAAAGTTGGTCCGGCTTATTGCCTTGACGAGCGTCTCCCCGTCTCCATTCTCTTTTCGCCCTAGTGCACTTAGAGTCCGTGGTCTGTGAACAAGTTGCTTCGCCTAACGCAGTAACCATCGCGAAGTCTGCTGCTCGGTTTCTTCTGCTGGGTTGGGGGCCCATTCCTTTTGTGCTCTCCGCAGGGCGTGGCAAGGACGCCCCAAGAAACTTGTTTAACAACACACGGCATCGCACATTCTCTGTCGCAGGGATCTCTCTCCTGGTTTACCCCCAGACATTCCTGGCTTCATCTAGAGCCCCCTCGAATTCCCACCTGCGTGTGTTATTTTACTTGTGTGTTTGTGCAGCACACCAGAGGATTTGTTAACCGCGTGTTCGGCCGCCGTCCCCCTTTGGCGAGAGCCCCAGCACGCCACAACAAAGTGTGGCCCTTGGCTTGAGCCATTTTGGCTCAAGCCAGGATTTGCCCCGACATGTTTTGCCACTTGGGATCTTCTGCTGCATTCCGCTGCCTTCCGCGCCTCAGCCACGGTCGCGATTAAGCCGGTTTTGGCACGTATCGAAGCTAGCATGCAGACCAAGGAGGAGACGAAACAGAACGTGGACGACCTCAAAGATACCCTGACTAAGTTAACTAAGGAGTTCAATGAGAAGCTCGAGGATCAGATAATCCAGGTATGGACAGTTGTATAAAATCCGTGACGACTGAACGCGGCTGCGGAGGCCCAGCGATCACAACAGCAACATAATATTTACATTGAAATCTGCATGAGCGCGTGCTGTGAACGCTCCTGCCGGGCACGAGGGAGCACAATTTGTTAATATCGCCCCGTCCTCCTGCCTTGGTTTCCTTCTCCTCCCCTCTTCCTTCCGCGCGTCCCTCCACCCTCCCAGCCTTTGTCCCCCTCCCCTTTCGTCCCCCTGCTACGCTCCCTGACCCACGCCCTTCCCTGCCGTTCAGACTTTCACGCTACAGGTGCGCTGTGAACGCTCCTGCCGGGCACGAGGGGGCACATTTTGTTAACATCGCTCCGTCCTCCTTCCTTGGTTCCTTCTCCTCCCCCTCTTCCTCCACGCGTCCTTCCACCCTCCCAACCTTTGTCCCCCTCCCCTTTCGTCCCCCTGCTACGCTCCCTGTCCCACGCCCTTCCCTGCCTTTCAGACTTTCACGCTACAGGTGCGTAGGACAGCGTACTATTACTCCATGCTATGCTGTCCGGAATCAGGTGCCGAGAGGGGCAAGTTACGAGGGGCGCGTTCATTCCCAAGGGGGGCTGGCGTGCTAGACGCGAGCTCTGCCGACGCCCCGGTCCAGGCGCAATGAGGGACTGAAGAGTACCTCTTCTAGCACACTGTGCATAGCGTTGGGGTTGGGGGGTGCACCAAAACATTGACCCCCAGGTGGCGAAAGCCAGGCCGTGGTTTTGCGCCGCCCTTTGTAAGGCCGTGAGAAGGGCCATACACACCTCCGAAGCAATATGTATCACTTGCGCGAAGCCTCTCCCGCGCACCTGAGCAGCCCCTCCGGCTGTCGTCTCCGAGGATGGCCGAAACCAAGCCAGGGAGAGTTCAGAAACCGTGGGGGGCGTACCACGTTAGTGGCCACCTCGCCCATTCATATCACTCATCCATTTGATTCCCAAAAATGTTTTTTGCCATCCTCAAGACTTTAAGGATGAGACCTCCTAGAGCCCATGCAAACCCTTTTTCTGCATGGGCATGCTGCATTGCGCAGCGGGTGAGTGGATGACCGCAACCACCCTGGCCGGGGTTCTGATGGTCGCCTCATCCTTAAAGATGTGTTCTAGGTGCCCTCGAAGCCTATAGTGTACCTGGCAGTCCTCCTTCTCGTAATCGTAGCCGCATTCGAAGTCGTAGCTGTCGTCGTCGTCGTTGTTTCGCGGCGGGCGCCGCAGACATAAATGAGTCGTTGCCCCCTATTGATGGGACCTCAGTCCTTCAAGGCCGTCGGAAAATAATGTGCTACTCCCATGTTTTTTTTGGTCTAAACCCATATCGCGGTTACGGCGAAGGTGGACGTTCTATAAGACCGCGATGGCCATGACGATGTTGATCATGGTGATGATGATTGTGACGATGCTGATGCTGCTGATGATGATGGTGATGATGATGAGGAGGAGGGGACGGATGAGGAGGATGATGATCATGCTGCTAATGATGGTGATGACGGGGAGGATGCGGGCGAGGATGATGGTGATGATGATGCTGACGATGAGGGTGATAATGCTGATGCTGATTATGTTGACGATGGCAGTTCGACTGGCGGCAACGCGGGAACTGCTTATGCTGCTGATGATGACGCTTACGATGCTGATGAAGACGATGGCGACGACGACGACAACGACGATGATGATCATGCGGATGATGCGGACGATGTCATTGACGGTGCCGGCGATGACGATGGCGATGTCGATGATGGTGCCAACAACGATGATGATGACGATGCTGCTGCTGACGGCGACGATGCTGATGATGCTGCAGATGTTGACGATGCTGATACTGCTGATGACGCTGATGATGATGATTAGGATGATGATGATGATGATGATGATGATGATGATGATGATGATGATGATGATGATGATGATGATGATGATGATGATGATGATGACGATGCTGATGATGACGATGATAGTGATGATGAGGATGATGCTGATGATGGTGCTGATGATGATGAGGATAATGGTGATGCTGATGATGCTGATGATGCTGATGCTGATTGTATCGACCATAGCGTTGCTGGTAGTGTTGATGGGGCGAAGGAGGCGGAGGAGGAGGAGGAGGAGGAGGAAGGGGGGAGGAGGAGGGGGACGCTGAGGCGTTCGTGTCCGCCTTCCCCTCAGGACAGCGACGTCATCAACTCCGAGCTTGAAAAAGAGCTCCGCGAGGACGGCGACATCCAGGCTGCGTCCGTCGCGCAGGACGGGGTATGCGGGCGCCGTCGACGTGGTCGCCGCCGCCGTCGCCGCCGCCGTCGGCGTCGTCGTCGTCGTTTTCCTCCTCCTCCTCCTACTTCATGTCCCGTTCCCCTCCTTCCCTCCTCGATGGAGGCGGGGTGTGCGGAAGAGGGGCAGGAGGAGGAGGAGGCGGAGGCGGAGGAGGAGGAGACACTCTGGGGGAGGATGGGGGAGTTGGAGGGGGGAGCACGGGGGAGGACGGGCGGAGGAGAGGAAGTCGGGACGACCGACATGGGTACGGAAAGAATGGGCACAAAGACCGACAGCAGTTCTTGCTCATTTTGAACAGGATTCGCTGTCGGCGTTGCCGCGGAGTGTGTCCATTTCAGACAGAAGGCCGCCTGCCAAACAGCGGCCGCTGTTCGTTCGGGACAACATTTGCTGTTGGGCATTGTGCCCATTGTTTCCGTGCCCATTTCGGGCGGCCAAAGGATTGGAGGAGGAGAGAAATGCAGATGCGGCAAGTGAGGGAGAAGGATGAAGATGATGCGGATAATGGTAATGACTATGATGATGCTGATGATGATGTTGATGCTGAACACGACGATGATGATACTGATGATGACGATAATGATGCTGATGGTGGTGGTGGTTGTGATAATGATGGCGATGCTGACGATAGTGCCTATGCTGTTGGATATGCTGATGGTGATGCTTATGCTGATGACGTTGAGGACGGGAAGGAGGAGGAGGAGCCGGATCATGAAGATGGGGCTGGTGACGCAGATGATGATGTTGCTGATTCTGATGACTGTGATGATTCCGCTGATGCTGATGGTGTCGGTGACGACTATGATCATGCTGATGCGGGTAATGAGGATGACGACACTGATGATGATGATGCTGATTATGCTGATGCTGCTGATGATGATGATGCTGATGATGGTGGTGGTGATGATGATGGTGGCCATGCTGATGCTGATTCGGGTGGTGATGACGCTGCTGCTGCTGCTGATGATGATGATGATGGTGATTACGATGCTGCTGATGAGGATGGTGGTGGTGATGATGCTGATGACGCAGATGATGATGATGGTGGCGATGATGCCGCTGATAATGGTGAGGGGGTATGCTGATAACGATCAGTATGATGATGAGGGTGATGATGATAATGATGCTGGTGATGATGGTGATGATGGTGATGTTGATGACGATGATGATGGTAATGGTACTAGCGATGCTGATGCTGATAATGCTGATAGTGATGATGATATTGATTATGCTGCTGTTGATGATGATGCCGATGTCGACAACGACGACGCTGATGATGCATATGATACTGCTGGTGATGCTTATGATGCTGATGATGCTGCTGATGATGCTGGTGACGATGATAATGAAGATGATGATGGTGACGATGTCGATGACGATGGTGCAGATGACGATGACTTTGGCGACGGCGGCGATGATGCTTATGATGGCGACGATGACGATGATGATGTTGCTGCTGTTGATGATGATAAAGAATGCTGATGCTGCTGAAGATAATGACGACGGAGATAATGTTGATGACGATGAGGCTGATGTCGAGACTGATGATGTCAACGACGACGATGATGATGCTGATTATGATGATGATGATGAAATGTCGCTGAACGCGGATGATGACCATGATGACGACGATGATTATTGCTGATGTTGATGACGATGCTGATGACGACGATGCTGATGATGAACATGTGTATGCTGATGATGGCGATGATGATGAGTATTGTTCCGACCGTCATGCTCATGTGTTTGATGATGCTGCTGATGATGGTGATGACGATATCGGCGGTGACGGCCGTGATACTGAAGCTGTGTATTCTGATTATGTCAGCAATGGGGATAATCGTTATGATGATTCTGAGAATACGGAGATTCATCATAGGAATAATGACGATGCTGATGGTGATGAGGATGATGATGATGCTGCTGCTGATGATGATGCTGGTGCTGCTGATGATGTTGATGATGGTGGTGATGATGATGATGCTGATGGTGGTGGTGGTGCTGCTGCTGATGATGAGGTGGAGGAGGAGGAGCCGGATGTGGTTGCGGCTGCTGCTTCTGATGCTGATGGCGAGAAGGAGGAGGAGGAGGGGGAGGAGGAGGAGGATGAAGTGTAGGAGGAGGAGGAGGAGGGGGAATACACAGGGAATGTTGATGGCGATGTGCAGATGGTTGTGAAGGATGATGTGAAGGATGAGGTGAAGGATGATGTGAAGGAAGGGTCTGGATGAGGAGGGGAAGGATGAGGAGGAACAGGACACGCGTCAGAAGGAGGAGGAGGAGGAGGGGGAGGATGAGGGGGAGGAGGAGGCGTAGGAGCAGGAAGACGCTGAGGAGTGGTATGAGGAGGATGATGGTAATGATGATGATAGTGATGTTGATCATGATGATGCTGATGATGCTGATGATGATGATGGTGATTCTGATTCTGACCATGATTATGATTCTGATGATGGTGATAATGATTATGATGCTGATGCTGACGATGATGATGACGATGCTGATGCTGATGCTGATGCTGATTATGATGATGCTTATTATGCTGATGATGTCGATGATGATGATGATGATGCTGATGATGATGATGATGATGATGATGATGATGCTGATGCTGATGATGGGGAGCTGGTAGTAATTTTGTGCCCTTCCGTTGGCTGGCTGACTGACTGACTCTCGGATTGGTAGAGTGACTGTCGCCAACGGACATTCCAGGGAACACACTTTGGGGCCGCTGGCGACTCAAGCACTACCTGCAAGCTCAACTAGGACGCCACACACACAAACACACACACGCACACACACGCACACACACACACGCACACACACACACGCGCACACACACACGCACACACACAGCCATACACATACACATACACATGCACATACATATATACACATATACATATACACATACGCATATACACATACACATACGCAGACATATACGCAGACACATACACAAATGTACACATACGCAGACATATACACATACGCATACACAGGCACATACGCATACACATACATATACACATGCACATGCACATGCACACACACATGCACATACACATACACACATACACATACATGCATACTTACATACATACACACAACACGCAACACAACTCACACAACACACACAAGACAACACACACAACACACATACACACGCTTGGGGGCCGCGGGCGAACCCGACGCCGCAACTGGGCACACACAGGGGGCCGCGGGCGACCGCAACGGCAACGGCAACCCGCAACTGCAACTCGGAACCAGCACTGGGGGACGCACACGCGGGGGCGGCGGGCGACCGCAGCCGTAGCGACGGGCATTCCCCATGCGCGCTCGAAGACCTCCGACACGACGGCGGCGTCGCCGTTTCTCGGCGACCACGACCACGGCCACGGCGGCGGCGGCGTCGACGACTTCGCGGGCGGCGGTGGCGACGGCCACGACGACGGCGGCCACGTCGACGGCGGCGGCGGCGACGACGGCGGCGACGGCAACGGCGGCGACGGCGGCGGCGACGGCGACGATGGTAACGACTCGACGGCGACGACCCGACGGCGACGGCGGCTGCGTCGACGGCGACGGCGATGGCGGCGACGGCTGCGGCTGCGGTGGCGGGGGCGCAGATCACCGTCGGCCCGGTCTCCGGCGGCAGCTCCGAGGGCGGCGCGTCCTCGGGGGAGGAGGCGCTCCTCCGCGCGTGCGCCCGCGGCCTCCAGCGGCCAGGTCGTCGGCCCTCGTCGTGGTCGTCGTCGCTCGGTCGTCGTCGCCGGCCCTCGTCGTGGCGTGGTCGTCGTCGTCTCGGTCGTCGCCGTGGTCGTGGTGATTGTCGTCCTCGCGGTCGTCATCGGCCTCATCGGCCCTCGTCGTTCTCGCCGCCGTCGGCACTCGTTGTCGTCGTGGTCGTGGTCGTGGTCGTGGTCGTGGTCGCTGTGGCGGCGGTGGTGTGGTGCCTCACCGTCCTCGTGCTGTTCCTCTCCGTCCTCGTGCTGCTTTTGAGAGGAGGAGGAGGAGACACTCTGGGGGAGGATGGGGGAGTTGGAGGGGGGAACACGGGGGAGGACTGGCGGAGGGGAGGAAGGGAGGAGGAGGGGAATGCAGATGCGGCAGGTGAGGGAGAGGGATGATGCTGATGATGCTGATGATGGTAATGACTATGATGATGCTGATGATGATGTTGATGCTGAGCACGACGATTAGGGGATGATGATGATGATGATGATGAGGCTAATGATGACGATGATGATGCTGATGGTGGTGGTGGTTGTGATAATGGTGGCGATGCTGATGATAGTGCCTATGTTGTTGGATATGCTGATGGTAATACTTATGCTGATGACGTTCAGGAGGGGAAGGAGGAGGAGCCAGATTATGAAGATGGGGATGATGACGCATATGATGATGTTGCTGATTCTGATGACGGTGGTGATTACGCTGATGCTGATGGTGGCGGTGACGACGATGATAATGGTGATGCGGGTAATGAGGATGGCGACGCTGATGATGATTCTGATTATGATGCTGCTGTTGATGATGATGATGGTGGTGGTGATGATGATGGTGGCCATGCTGATGCTGATTCGGGTGGTGATGACGCTTCTGCTGATGATGATGATGATGATGATGATTACGATGCTGCTGATGAGGATGGTGGTGGTGATGATGCTGATGATGCTGATGATGATGATGATGGTGATGGTGACGATGATGCCGCTGATAATGGTGATGGTGTATGCTGATACCGATCAGTATGATGAGGAGGATGATGATGATGCTGGTGATGATGGTGATGTTGTTGACGATGATGATGGTAATGGTACTAGCGATGCTGATGCTAATGTTGCTGATAGTGATGATGATAATGATGATGTTGCTGCTGCTGATGATGATGCCGATGTCGACGACGACGACGCTGATGATGAATATGATACTGCTAGTGATGCTTGTGATGCTGATGCTGCTGATGATGATGCTGGTGACGATGATGTCGATGTCGACGACGACGAGGATGAGCATGCTGATGACGATGATGATGATGATGATGCCGATGGTGACGATGTCGATGACGATGGTGCAGATGACGATGACTTCGGCGGCGGCGGCGAGGATTCTTATGATGGCGACGATGACGATGATGATGTTGCTGCTGTTGATGATGAAGGAAACGCTGATGCTGCTGATGATGATGACGACGGAGATGATGCTGATGACGATGAGGCTGATGACGAGATTGATGATGATAACGACGACGATGAGGATGCTGCTGATTATGATGATGGTAATGTCGCTTATGCGGATGATGACGATGATGACGACGATGATGATACTGCTGATGTTGATGATGATGATGATGCTGATGACGACGATGTTGATGATGATCATGTGTATACTGATGATGGCAATGATGATGAACATCGTGCCGACCGTCATGATCATGTTTTTGATTCTGCTGCTGATGATGATTTTCATGATGGTGATGACGATGTCGGCGGTGACGGCCGTGATAATGACGCTGTGTATTCTGATTATGCCAGCAGTGAGGATGGTTGTTATGAGGATTATGAGAATACCGAGATTCATCATAGTAATAATGACGATGCTGATGATGATGAGAATGCTGATGCTGATGACGATACTGCTGCTGCTGATGATGATGATGATGATGGTGCTGCTGATGATGTTGATGATGGTGGTGATGATGATGCTGATGGTGGTGGCGCTGCTGCTGATGATTAGATGGAGGAGGAGACGGATGCGGCTGCTGCTGCTGCTGATGCTGATGGCGAGAAGGAGGAGGAGGAGGAGGGGGAGGAGGAGGAGGAAGAGGTGGAGGAGGAGGAGGAGGGGGAAGACACAGGGAATGTTGATGGCGAGGTGCAGATGGTTGTGAAGGATGATGCGAAGGATGAGGTGAAGGATGATGTGAAGGAAGGGTCTGGATGAGGAGGGGGAGGATGAGGAGGAACAGGACACGCGTCAGGAGGAGGAGGAGGAGGAGGGGGAGGAGAAGGGGGAGGAGGAGGCGTAGGAGCAGGAAGACGCACAGGAGTGGTATGAGCAGGATGATGGTAATGATGGTGATCGTGATGTTGATGATGATGGTGATTCTGATTATGATTACGATGATGGTGATGCTGATTATGATGATGATGATGATGATGATGATGATGATGATGATGCTGATGCTGATGCTGTCGATGATGATGACGATGATGATGCTGATGATGATGATTATGATGATGATGCTAATGATGCTGATGATGATGATGATGCTGATGCTGGTGATGATGATGACGATGATGATAATGGGGAGCTGGTAGTACTTCTGTGCCCTTCCGTTGGCTGGCTGACTGACTGACTCTCGGTTTGGTAGAGTGACTGTCGCCAACGGACATTCCAGGGGATTCAATTTGGGGCCGCGGGCGACCCAAGCACTACCTGCAAGCTCAACTAGGACCACACACAAACACCCACACGAACGCACACACACACACACACCCGCACACAGACACACAGACACACAGACACACACATACACATACACATACACATACACATACACATACACATACACATACGCAGACACATACGCAGACACATACACACATGTACACACACGCAGACACATACACATACGCATACACAGACACATATGCATACACATACACATATACATACACAAGCACATACACATACACATACATATGCGCGCTGGCGGGGCGGGCGGGGGCGCAGATCACCGTCGGCCCGGTCTCCGGCGGCAGCTCCGAGGGCGGCGCGACCTCGGGGGAGGAGGCGCTACTCCGCGCGTGCGCCCGCGGCCTCCAGCGGCCAGGTCGTCGGCCCTCGTCGTGGTCGTCGTCGCTCGGTCGTCGTCGTCGGCCCTCGTCGTGGCGTGGTCGTCTTCGTCTCGGTCGTCGCCGTGGTGATTGTCGTCCTCGCGGTCGTCATCGGCCTCATCGGCCCTCGTCGTTATCGCCGTCGTCGTGGTCGTGGTCGTGATCGTGGTCGCTGTGGCTGTGGTGGTGTGGTGCCGCACCGTCCTCGTGCTGTTCCTCGCCGTCCTCGTGCTGCTTTTGGGAGGAGGCGGAGGAGACACTCTGAGGGAGGATGGGTAAGTTGGAGGGGGAACACGGGGGAGGACGGGCGGAGGGGAGGAAGGGAGGAGGAGGGTCGGACTGGCACAGAACTACACTTTGGGCGAGTGGATTAGCTTCTTGCGCGGATCCCCAAATTCCAAACTTACTTTTGCGACATCGTGTTGCGTATTGGTTCGCCCGCCTTTCGAGGGGGCCGATCGCGCCTGTCGGATTTGCCGAGGCCTCGACTTCGCTTGCCAGTGTCAGTGTGGATTCAAGGCTTGCGCCTCACGAGTGGATTGGAGGATGAGCGCAAGGTGAGCCCTTCAGCTGCGGGGGGGGCGCGGGCGTTTGCCGCCACGTAGGGGCCAGGGGCAATTGGGAAACGCTCAGGGAAATGGAGGGCGGCAGGTAGAGGAAGAACGGGGGAGGGGGAGGGCAAAGCAGCGGGCGGGAATGGGGGACATAGTGACCAGGCGAGATGCTCTGACAGGGGGGGCGATGTGGGCGGAGGCCACACTTGGAATTCCTTCGGAAAGCCCTGGGACGTTCAGACACCTCCGCCCGGAGGCTGGCAGGGGTGCAGCGGCCCTTGCCTTCCTGACTCTGCGGGCGGGGCGCGACGACGCACCCGACATGCACCCCGTCCCTTTCGCTAGGTGCCGGTCTATACGTGCTCGCCCCGCGCGAGACATCCAGCACGTTCAGAACTACATTTAGCCAGGCACTAGGTGTAGTTCTGAACGTGCTGGTTTCGCCGGAGACATCCTCATAAAACGGAGCACTTATAGAACTACACCTAGCCAGCGGGGCGGGGTGCATGTCGGGTGCCGCCACTCGCGCTCCCAACATATACCGCGCCCCGGCCGCTAAGTGCCGTTCTGTACGTGTCTCCTTTTCGCGAAGCATCGGCTGCCCGCGCTGCCCATCGCCGAGGCCCCGCACCCTGGGCCGCTTCCCGCCGACATCCTACATCCTCTGGCTCAGCGAAGCCAGCCGTATGCCTGGGGGGTCGACCTCGCGCAGCCCGCTTCCCTCCCCCGCCTGTGTCCCAGCTGCAATTCGCGATCCGATCCCCGGCGCTTTCGAGTTTTTCTTCGTGCCGGATTCCCCGTCCGAGGGTGAAGCGCTTGTTCGCGTCAGGATTGTTCTTGAGGCTGCCGCCAAGCGTCGCCGTGAAACAAGGCGATCGCTTCCACGCTTGGCACGCAACGTCGTCGGCTCAACCGTCGCCTTCCATCGTAGGTCGCGAGGCGGCGTCCGTCCACCCAGACCGACCGACGCGCCAAATCGAATTATGATTGCCACCCTTGGTCCCCGCAACAAGGTGCAGTTTTGCTGCGTGTCGTTGTAAATGTGTTCGAGAGGGGACTACAGATGCGGCAGGTGAGGGAGAGGGATGATGCTGATGATGTTGATGATGGTAATGAGTATGATGATGCTGCTGATGATGATGATGATGATGATGATGATGATGTTGATGCTGAGCACGACGATTAGGATGATGATGGTGAGACTGATGATGACGATGATGATGCTGATGGTGGTGGTGGTTGTGATAATGGTGGCGATGCTGATGATAGTGCCTATGTTGTTGGATATGCTGATGGTAATGCTTATGCTGATGACGTTGAGGAGGGGAAGGAGGATGAGGAGCCGGATTATGAACATGGGGATGATGACGCAGATGATGATGTTGCTGATTCTGATGACTGTGGTGATTACGCTGATGCTGATGGTGGCGGTGACGACGATGATAATGCTGATGCGGGTAATGAGGATGACGTCGCTGATGATGATGCTGATTATGATGCTGCTGCTGATGATGATGGTGGTGATGATGATGATGGTGGCCATGCTGATGCTGATTCGGGTGGTGATGACGCTGCTGCTGATGATGATGATGATGATGATGATGATTACGATGCTGCTGATGAGGATGGTGGTGGTGATGATGCTGATGATGCTGATGATGCTGATGGTGATGGTGACGATGATGCTGCTGATAATGGTGATGGTGTATGCTGATAGCGATCAGTATGATGAGGAGGAGGATGATGATGATGCTGGTGATGATGGTGATGTTGTTGACGATGATGATGGTAATGGTACTAGCGATGCTGATGCTAATACTGCTGAAAGTGATGATGATAGTGATGATGTTGCTGCTGCTGCTGATGATGATGCCGATTTCGACGACGACGACGCTGATGATGCATATGATACTGCTAGTGGTGCTTGTGATGCTGATGCTGCTGATGATTATGCTGGTGACGATGATGTCGATGTCGACGACGACGAGGATGAGTATGCTGATGATGTTGATGATGATGATGATGATGATGCCGACGGTGACGGTGTCGATGACGATGGTGCAGATGACGATGATTTTGGTGGCGGCGGCGATGATTCTTATGATGGCGACGATGACGATGATGATGTTGCTGCTGTTGATGATGAAGGGAATGCTGATGCTGCTGATGATGCTGATGACGACGGAGATGATGCTGATGACAATGAAGCTGGTGACGAGACTGATGATGATAACGACGACGATGCTGATGATGGTGATGCCCCTGATGCGGATGATGACGATGATGACGACGATGATGATACTGCTGATGTTGATGATGATGCTGATGACGACGATGCTGATGATGATCATGTGTCTGCTGATGATGGCGACGGTGATGAAAATCGTGCCGACCGTCATGATCATGTTTTTGATGCTGCTGCTGATGATGATGTTCATGATGGTGATGACGATGTCGGCGGTGACGGCCGTGATAATGAAGCTGTGTATTCTGATTATGCCAGCAGTGAGGATGATCGTTATGATGATTATGAGGATACTGAGATTCATCCTGGTAATAATGACGATGCTGATGATGGGGATGATGATGATGCTGATGATGATGTTGCTGCTGATGATAATGATGGTGCTGCTGATGATGTTGATGATGGTGGTGATGATGATGATGCTGATGGTGGTGGCGCTGCTGCTGATGATGAGATGGAGGAGGAGGAGATGGATGCGGCTGCTGCTGCTGCATCTGATGCTGATGGCGAGAAGGAGGAGGAGGAGGAGGAGGAGGGGGAGGAGGAGGAGGAAGAGGTGGAGGAGGAGGAGGAGGAGGGGGAAGACACAGGGAATGTTGATGGCGAGGTGCAGGTGGTTGTGAAGGATGATGTGAAGGATGAGGTGAAGGATGATGTGAAGGAAGGGTCTGGATGAGGAGGGGGAGGATAAGGAGGAACAGGACACGGGTCAGGAGGAGGAGGAGGAGGAGGAGGAGGAGGGGGAGGAGAAGGGGGAGGAGGAGGCGTAGGAGCAGGAAGACGCAGAGGAGTGGTATCAGGAGGATGATGGTAATGATGATGATGATGATGATGATGATGATGATGATGATGATGATGATGATGATGATGATGATGATGATGATGATCGTGATGTTGATGATGATGATGATGATGATGGTGATTATGACTATGATTATGATGATGGTGATGCTGATTGTGATGATGATGATGCTGATGCTGTCGATGATGATGACGATGATGCTGCTGATGATGATTATGATGATGATGCTAATGGTGATGCTGATGATGATGATGATGAGGATGTTGCTGATGCTGGTGATGATGATGACGATGATGATGTGGAGCTGGTAGTAATTCTGTGCCCTTCCGTTGGCTGGCTGACTGACTCTCGGTTTGGTAGAGTGACTGTCGCCAACGGACATTCCAGGGAACACACTTTGGGGCCGCGGGCGACCCAAGCACTACCTGCAAGCTCAACTAGGACCACACACAGACACACACACGAACACACACACACACGCACACACACACACACCCGCACACAGACACACAGACATACACATACACATACACATACGCAGACACATACGCAGACACATACACACATGTACACACACGCAGACACATACACATACGCATACACAGACACATATGCATACACATACACATATACATACACAAGCACATACACATACACATACACATGCGCGCTGGCGGGGTGGGCGGGGGCGCAGATCACCGTCGGCCCGGTCTCCGGCGGCAGCTCCGAGGGTGGCGCGACCTCGGGGGAGGAGGCGCTCCTCCGCGCGTGCGCCCGCGGCCTCCAGCGGCCAGGTCGTCGGCCCTCGCCGTGGTCGTCGTCGCTCGGTCGTCGTCGTCGGCCCTCGTCGTGGCGTGGTCGTCTTCGTCTCGGTCGTCGCCGTGGTGATTGTCGTCCTCGCGGTCGTCATCGGCCTCATCGGCCCTCGTCGTTATCGCCGTCGTCGGCACTCGTTGTCGTCGTGGTCGTGGTCGTGATCGTGGTCGCTGTGGCGGTGGTGGTGTGGTGCCTCACCGTCCTCGTGCTGTTCCTCGCCGTCCTCGTGCTGCTTTCGGGAGGAGGAGGAGGAGACACTCTGGGGGAGGATGGGGGAGTTGGAGGGGGGAACCCTGGGGAGGACGGGCGGAGGGGAGGAAGGGAGGAGGAGGGGAATTCAGATGCGGCAGGTGAGGGAGAGGGATGATGCTGACGTTGCTGATGATGGTAATGACTATGATGATGCTGATGATGATGATGATGATGATGATGATGATGATGATGATGATGTTGATGCTGAACGCGACGATTATGATGATGATGGTGAGACTGATGATGACGATGATGATGATGCTGATGGTGGTGGTGGTTGTGATAATGGCGGCGATGCTGATGATAGTGCCTATGTTGTTGGATATGCTGATGGTGATGCTTATGCTGATGACGTTGAGGAGGGGAAGGAGGAGGAGGTGCCGGATTATGAAGATGGGGATGATGACGCAGATGATGATGCTGCTGATTTTGGATGACTGTGGTGATTACGCTGATGCTGATGGTGGCGGTGACGACGATGGTAATGTGATGAGGATGACGACACTGATGATGATGCTGATTCTGATGCTGCTGATGATGATGATGATGGTTGTGGTGATGATGCTGGTGGCCATGCTGATGCTGATTCGGGTGGTGATGACGCTGCTGCTGATGACGATGATTACGATGCTGCTGATGAGGATGGTGGTGGTGATGATGCTGATGATGCTGATGATGCTGATGATAATGAGGATGGTGATGGTGACGATGATGCCGCTGATAATGGTGATGGCGTATGCTGATAACGATCAGCATGATGAGGAGGATGATGATGCTGGTGATGCTTTTGATGTTGATGACGATGATGATGGTAATGGTACTAGCAATGCTGATGCTAATACTGCTGATAGTGATGATAATGATGATGTTGCTGCTGATGCTGATGATGCCGATGTCGACGACGACGACGACGCTGACTATGCAAATGATACTGCTGGTGATGCTTGTGATGCTGATGATGCAGATGATAATGCTGGTGACGATGATGTCGATGTCGACGACGACGAGGATGAGTATGCTGATGACGTTGATGATGATGCCGATGGTGACGATGTCGATGACGACGGTGCAGATGACGATGACTTTGGCGGCGGCGGCGATGATTCTTATGATGGCGACGATGACGATGATGATGTTGCTGCTGTTGATGATGAAGGGAATGCTGATGCTGCTGATGATGATGATGATGATGATGATGATGACGGAGATGATGCTGATGGCAATGAAGCTGATGACGAGACTGATAATGATCACGACGACGATGATCACACACACACACACACACGCTTGGGGGCCGCGGGCGAACCCGACGCCGCAACTGGGCACACACAGGGGGCCGCGGGCGACCGCAACGGCAACGGCAACTCGCAACTGCAACTCGGAACCAGCACTGGGGGACGCACACGCGGGGGCGGCGGGCGACCGCAGCCGTAGCGACGGGCATTCCCCATGCGCGCTCGAAGACCTCCGACACGACGGCGGCGTCGCCGTTTCTCGGCGACCACGACCACGGCCACGGCGGCGGCGGCGTCGACGACTTCGCGGGCGGCGGTGGCGACGGCCACGACGACGGCGGCCACGTCGGCGGCGGCGGCGGCGGCGACGGCGGCGACGGCAACGGCGGCGACGGCGGCGGCGACGGCGACGACGGTGACGACTCGACGGCGACGACCCGACGGCGACGGCTGCGGCTGCGGTGACGGGTGCGCTGGCCGCACAGCGCGCTGGCGGGGCGGGCGGGGGCGCAGATCACCGTCGGCCCGGTCTCCGGCGGCAGCTCCGAGGGTGGCGCGTCCTCGGGGGAGGAGGCGCTCCTCCGCGCGTGCGCCCGCGGCCTCCAGCGGCCAGGTCGTCGGCCCTCGTCGTGGTCGTCGTCGCTCGGTCGTCGTCGTCGGGCCTCGTCGTGGCGTGGTCGTCTTCGTCTCGGTCGTCGCCGTGGTGATTGTCGTCCTCGCGCTCGTCATCGGCCTCATTGGCCCTCGTCGTTGTCGCCGTCGTCGGCACTCGTTGTCGTCGTGGTCGTGGTCGTGATCGTGGTCGCTGTGGCGGTGGTGGTGTGGTGCCTCACCGTCCTCGTGCTGTTCCTCGCCGTCCTCGTGCTGCTTGTGGGAGGAGGAGGAGGAGGAGGAGACACTCTGGGGGAGGATGGGGGAGTTGGAGGGGGGAACCCTGGGGAGGACGGGCGGAGGGGAGGAAGGGAGGAGGAGGGGAATGCAGATATGGCAGGTGAGGGAGAGGGATGATGCTGATGATGCTGATGATGGTAATGACTATGATGATGATGATGATGATGATGATGATGATGATGATGATGATGTTGATGCTGAGCACGACGATTATGATGATGATGATGAGGCTAATGATGACGATGATGATGCTGATGGTGGTGGTGGTTGTGATAATGGTGGCGATGCTGATGATAGTGCCTATGTTGTTGGATATGCTGGTGGTAATGCTTATGCTGATGACGTTGAGGAGGGGAAGAAGGAGGAGAAGCCGGATTATGAATATGGGGATGATGACGCAGATGATGATGTTGCTGATTCTGATGACTGTGGTGATTACGCTGATGCTGATGGCGGCGGTGACGACGATGAGAATGGTGATGCGGGTAATGAGGATGACGACGCTAATGATGATGATGCTGATTATGATGCTGCTGCTGATGATGATGGTGGTGGTGATGATGATGGTGGCCATGCTGATGCTGATTCGGTTGGTGATGACGCTGCTGCTGCTGACGATGATGATTACGATGCTGCTGATGAGGATGGTGGTGGTGATGAAGCAGATGATACTGATGATGATGATGGTGATGGTGACGATGATGCCGCTGATAATGGTGATGGTGTATGCTGATAACGATCAGTATGATGAGGAGGATGATGATGCTGGTGATGATGGTGATGTTGTTGACGATGATGATGATAATGGTACTAGCGATGCTGATGCTAATGCTGCTGATAGTGATGATGATGATGATGATGATGATGTTGCTGCTGCTGATGATGATGCCGATGTCGACGATGACGACGCTGATGATGCATATGATACTGCTGGTGATGCTTGTGATGCTGATGCTGCTGATGATGATGCTGGTGACGATGATGTCGATGTCGATGACGACGAGGATGAGTATGCTGATGACGATGATGATGCCGATGGTGACGATGTCGATGACGATGGTGCCGATGACGATGGCTTTGGCGGCGGCGGCGATGATTCTTATGGTGGCGACGATGACGATGATGATGTTGCTGCTGTTGATGATGGGGGGAATGCTGATGCTGCTGATGATGATGACGATGACGACGGAGATGATGCTGATGACGATGCAGCTGATGATGAGACTGATGATGATAACGACGACGATGATGCTGATGCTGATGATGATGATGGTGATGCCGCTGATGCGGGCGATGACGATGATGACGACGATGATGATACTGCTGATGTTGATGATGATGCTGACGACGACGATGCTGATGATGATCATGTGTCTGCTGATGATGGCGACGATGATGAATATCGTGCCGACCGTCATGATCATGTTTTTGATGCTGCTGCTGATGATGATGTTCATGATGGTGATGACGATGTCGGCGGTGACGGCCGTGATCATGAAGCTGTGTATTCTGATTCTGCCAGCAGTGAGGATAATCGTCATGATGATTATGAGAATACTGAGATTCATCATAGTAATAATGACGATGCTGATGATGATGAGGATGCTATGCTGAGGATGCTGCTGCTGCTGATGATAATGGTGCTGCTGATGATGATGTTGATGGTGGTGGTGATGATGATGATGCTGATGGTGGTGGCGCTGCTGCTGATGATGAGATGGAGGAGGAGGAGACGGATGCGGCTGCTGCTGCTGCTGCTTCTGATGCTGATGGCGAGAAGGAGGAGGAGGAGGGGGAGGAGGAGGAGGAAGAGGTGGAGGAGGAGGAGGAGGGGGAAGACACAGGGAATGTTGATGGCGATGTGCAGATGGTTGTGAAGGGTGATGTGAAGGATGAGGTGAAGGATGATGTGAAGGAAGGGTCTGGATGAGGAGGGGGAGGATGAGCAGGAACAGGACACGCGTCAGGAGGAGGAGGATGAGGAGGGGGAGGATAATGGGGAGGAGGAGGCGTAGGAGCAGGAAGACGCAGAGGAGTGGTATGAGGAGGATGATGGTAATGATGACGATCGTGATCATGATGATGCTGATGATGATGATGATGATGATGATGATGATGATGGTGATTATGATTATGACGATGGTGATCGTGATGTTGATGATGATGCTGATGCTGTCGATGATGATGACGGTACTGATGCTGATGATGATTATGATGATGATGCTAATGACGATGATGATGCTGATGCTGGTGCTGATGATGACGATGATGATGGGGAGCTGGTAGTAATTCTGTGCCCTGTCGTTGGCTGGCTGACTGACTGGCTCTCGGTTTGGTAGAGTGACTGTCGCCAACGGACATTCCAGGGAACACAATCTGGGGCCGCGGGCGACCCAATCACTACCTGCAAGCTCAACTAGGACCACACACAAACACACACACACACACACACACGAACACACACACACGCACACACACACACACACACCCGCACACAGACACACAGACATACACATACACATACACATACGCGGACACATATGCAGACACATACACACATGTACACACAGACACATACACATACGCATACACAGACACATATGCATACACGTAAACATACACATACACAAGCACATACACATACACATACACATGCGCGCTGGCGGGGCGGGCGGGGGCGCAGATCACCGTCGGCCCCGTCTCCGGCGGCAGCTCCGAGGGTGGCGCGACCTCGGGGGAGGAGGCGCTCCTCCGCGCGTGCGCCCGCGGCCTCCAGCGGCCAGGTCGTCGGCCCTCGTCGTGGTCGTCGTCGCTCGGTCGTCGTCGTCGGCCCTCGTCGTGGCGTGGTCGTCGTCGTCTCGGTCGTCGCCGTGGTGATTGTCGTCCTCGCGGTCGTCATCGGCCTCATCGGCCCTCGTCGTTATCGCCGTCGTCGGCACGCGTTGTCGTCGTGGTCGTGGTCGTGGTCGTGGTCGTGGTCGCTGTGGCGGTGGTGGTGTGGTGCCTCACCGTCCTCGTGCTGTTCCTCGCCGTCCTCGTGCTGCTTGTGGGAGGAGGAGGAGACACTCTGGGGGAGGATGGGGGAGTTGGAGGGGGGAACCCTGGGGAGAACGGGCGGAGGGGAGGAAGGGAGGAGGAGGGCAATGCAGATGCGGCAGGTGAGGGAGAGGGATGATGCTGATGATGCTGATGATGGTAATGACTATGATGATGATGATGATGATGATGATGATGATGATGATGATGATGATGATGATGATGATGATGATGAGCACGACGATTAGGATGATGATGATGAGGCTAATGATGACGATGATGATGCTGATGGTGGTGGTGGTTGTGATAATGGTGGCGATGCTGATGATAGTGCCTATGTTGTTGGATATGCTGGTGGTAATGCTTATGCTGATGACGTTGAGGAGGGGAAGGAGGAGGAGAAGTCGGATTATGAATATGGGGATGATGACGCAGATGATGATGTTGCTGATTCTGATGACTGTGGTGATTACGCTGATGCTGATGGTGGCGGTGACGACGATGAGAATGGTGATGCGGGTAATGAGGATGACGACGCTAATGATGATGCTGATTCTGATGCTGCTGATGATGATGATGGTGGTGGTGATGATGATGCTGGCCATGCTCGATGCTGATTCGGTTGGTGATGACGCTGCTGCTGCTGACGAGGATGATTACGATGCTGCTGATGAGGATGGTGGTGGTGATGAAGCAGATGATGCTGATGATGATGATGATGATGGTGATGGTGACGATGATGCCGCTGATAATGGTGATGGTGTATGCTGATAACGATCAGTATGATGAGGAGGATGATGATGCTGGTGATGATGGTGATGTTGATGACGATGATGATGGTAATGGTACTAGCGATGCTGATGCTAATACTGCTGATAGTGATGATGATAATGATGATGTTGCTGCTGCTGATGATGATGCCGATGTCGACGATGACGACGCTGATGATGCATATGATACTGCTGGTGATGCTTGTGATGCTGATGCTGCTGATGATGATGCTGGTGACGATGATGTCGATGTCGACGACGACGAGGATGAGTATGCTGATGACGATGATGATGATGCCGATGGTGACGATGTCGATGACGATGGTGCTGATGACGATGACTTTGGCGGCGGCGGCGATGATTCTTATGATGGCGACGACGACGATGCTGATGTTGCTGCTGTTGATGATGAAGGGAATGCTGATGCTGCTGATGATGATGACGACGGAGATGATGCTGATGACGATGAAGCTGATGACGAGACTGATGATGATAACGACGACGATGACGATGATGATGATGATGATGATGATGATGATGATGATGGTGATGCCGCTGATGCGGGCGATGACGATGATGACGACGATGATGATACTGCTGATGTTGATGATGATGCTGATGACGACGATGCTGATGATGATCATGTGTCTGCTGATGATGGCGATGATGATGAGCATCGTGCCGACCTTCATGATCATGTTTTTGATGCTGCTGCTGATGATGATGATGCTCATGATGGTGATGACGATGTCGGCGGTGACGGCCGTGATAATGAAGCTGTGTATTCTGATTCTGCCAGCAGTGAGGATGATCGTCATGCTGATTATGAGAACACTGAGATTCATCATAGTAATAATGACGATGCTGATGATGATGAGGATGCTATGCTGATGATGCTGCTGCTGATGATGATGGTGCTGCTGATGATGATGTTGATGGTGGTGGTGATGATGATGCTGATGCTGATGGTGGTGGCGCTGCTGCTGATGATGAGATGGAGGAGGAAGAGACGGATGCGGCTGCTGCTGCTGCTGCTTCTGATGCTGATGGCGAGAAGGAGGAGGAGGAGGAGGGGGAGGAGGAGGAGGAAGAGGTGGAGGAGGAGGAGGAGGGAAAGACAGGGAATGTTGATGGCGATGTGCATATGGTTGTGAAGGATGATGTGAAGGATGAGGTGAAGGATGATGTGAAGGAAGGGTCTGGATGAGGAGGGGGAGGATGGGGAGGAACAGGACACGCGTCAGGAGGAGGAGGAGGAGGAGGAGGAGGAGGAGGAGGGGGAGGAGAATGGGGAGGAGGAGGCGTAGGAGCAGGAAGACGCAGAGGAGTGGTATGAGGAGGGTGATGGTAATGATGATGATGATCGTGATGTTGATGATGATTGTGATGCTGATGATGATGATGATGATGATGATGATGATGATGATGATGATGGTGATTATGATTATGATTATGATGATGGTGATCGTGATGTTGATGATGATGATGCTGATGCTGTCGATGATGATGACGATACTGATGCTGATGATGATGATTATGATGATGATGCTAATGACGATGATGATGCTGATGCTGGTGCTGATGATGACGATGATGATGGGGAGCTGGTAGTAATTCTGTGCCCTGTCGTTGGCTGGCTGACTGACTGACTCTCGGTTTGGTAGAGTGACTGTCGCCAACAGACATTCCAGGGAACACAATTTGGGGCCGCGGGCGACCCAATCACTACCTGCAAGCTCAACTAGGACCACACACAAACACACACACACGAACACACACACACACACGCACACACACACACACCCGCACACAGACACACAGACATACACATACACATACACATACACATACACATACACATACACATACACATACACATACACATACACATACACATACACATACACATACACATACACATACGCGGACACATATGCAGACACATACACACATGTACACACAGACACATACACATACGCATACACAGACACATATGCATACACGTACACATTCACATACACAAGCACATACACATACACATACACATGCGCGCTGGCGGGGCGGGCGGGGGCGCAGATCACCGTCGGCCCCGTCTCCGGCGGCAGCTCCGAGGGTGGCGCGACCTCGGGGGAGGAGGCGCTCCTCCGCGCGTGCGCCCGCGGCCTCCAGCGGCCAGGTCGTCGGCCCTCGTCGTGGTCGTCGTCGCTCGGTCGTCGTCGTCGGCCCTCGTCGTGGCGTGGTCGTCGTCGTCTCGGTCGTCGCCGTGGTGATTGTCGTCCTCGCGGTCGTCATCGGCCTCATCGGCCCTCGTCGTTATCGCCGTCGTCGGCACGCGTTGTCGTCGTGGTCGTGGTCGTGGTCGTGGTCGTGGTCGCTGTGGCGGCGGTGGTGTGGTGCCTCACCGTCCTCGTGCTGTTCCTCGCCGTCCTCGTGCTGCTTGTGGGAGGAGGAGGAGGAGACACTCTGGGGGAGGATGGGGGAGTTGGAGGGGGGAACACGGGGGAGGACGGGCGGAGGGGAGGAAGGGAGGAGGAGGGGAATGCAGATGCGGCAGATGAGGGAGAGGGATGATGCTGATGATGCTGATTATGGTAATGACTATGATGATGCTGATGATGATTATGTTGACGATGAACACGACGATTATGATGATGCTGGTGAGACTGATGATGACGATGATGATACTGATGGTGGTGGTGGTGGTTGTGATAATGGTGGCGATGCTGATGATAGTGCCTATGTTGTTGGATATGCTGATGGTGATGCTTCTGCTGATAACGTTGAGGAGGGGAAGGAGGAGGAGGAGCCGGATTACGAAGATGGGGATGCTGACGCAGATGATGATGTTGCTGATTCTGATGACTGTGGTGATTACGCTGATGCTGATGGTGGCGGTGACGACGATGATCATATCATGAGGATGACGACACTGATGATGATGCTGATTCTGATGTTGCTGATGATGATGATGGTTGTGGTGATGATGCTGGTGGCCATGCTGATGCTGATTCGGTTGGTGATGACGCTGCTGCTTCTGATGATGATGATGATGATGATTACGATGCTGCTGATGAGGATGGTGGTGGTGATGATGCTGATGATGCTGATGATGATGATGATGGTGATGGTGACGATGATGCCGCTGAGAATGGTGATGGTGTATGCTGGTAACGATCAGTATGATGCGGAGGATTATGATGCTGGTGATGCTGGTGATGTTGATGACGATGATGATGGTAATGGTACTAGGGATGCTGATGCTAATACTGCTGATAGTGATGATGATAATGCTGATGTTGCTGCTGTTGCTGATGATGCCCATGTCGACGACGACGATGATGACGCTGACGATGCATATGATACTGCTGGTGATGTTTGTGGTGCTGATGATGCTGATGATGATGCTGGCGACGATGATGTCGATGCCGACGACGACGAGGATGAGTATGCTGATGACGATGATGATGATGCCGATGGTGACGATGTCGATGACGACGGTGCAGATGACGATGACTTTGGCGGCGGCGGTGATGATTCTTATGATGGCGATGATGACGATGATGATTGTGTTGCTGCTGTTGATGATGAAGGGAATGCTGATGCTGCTGATGATGATGATGACGACGGAGATGATGCTGATGACAATGAAGCTGATGACGAGACTGATGATCACACACACACACACGCTTGGGGGCCGCGGGCGAACCCGACGCCGCAACTGGGCACACACAGGGGGCCGCGGGCGACCGCAACGGCAACGGCAACCCGCAACTGCAACTCGGAGCCAACACTGGGGGACGCACACTCGGGGGCGGCGGGCGACCGCAGCCGTAGCGACGGGCATTCCCCATGCGCGCTCGAAGACCTCCGACACGACGGCGGCGTCGCCGTTTCTCGGCGACCACGACCACGGCCACGGCGGCGGCGGTGGCGACGGCCACGACGACGGCGGCCACGTCGACGGCGGCGGCGGCGACGACGGCGACGACGGCAACGGCGGCGACGGCGGCGGCGACGGCGACGACGGCGACGACTCGACGGCGACGACCCGACGGCGACGGCGGCTGCGTCGACGGCGACGGCGATGGCGGCGACGGCTGCGGCTGCGGTGACGGGGGCGCAGATCACCGTCGGCGGGGTCTCCAACAGCAGCTCCGAGGGCGGCGCGACCTCGGGGGAGGAGGCGCTCCTCCGCGCGTGCGCCCGCGGCCTCCAGCGGCCAGGTCGTCGGCCCTCGTCGTGGTCGTCGTCGCTCGGTCGTCGTCGTCGGCCCTCGTCGTGGCGTGGTCGTCGTCGTCTCGGTCGTCGCCGTGGTCGTGGTGATTGTCGTCCTCGCGGTCGTCATCGGCCTCATCGGCCCTCGTCGTTCTCGCCGCCGTCGGCACTCGTTGTCGCCGTGGTGATTGTCGTCCTCGCGGTCGATGGTCGTGGTCGTGGTCGTGGTCGCTGTGGCGGTGGTGGTGTGGTGCCTCACCGTCCTCGTGCTGTTCCTCTCCGTCCTCGTGCTGCTTTTGAGAGGAGGAGGAGGAGACACTCTGGGGGAGGATGGGGGAGTTGGAGGGGGGAACACGGGGGAGGACTGGCGGAGGGGAGGAAGGGAGGAGGAGGGGAATGCAGATATGGCAGGTGAGGGAGAGGGATGATGCTGATGATGCTGATGATGGTAATGACTATGATGATGCTGATGATGATGATGATGATGATGATGTTGATGCTGAGCACGACGATTAGGGGATGATGATGAGGCTAATGATGACGATGATGATGATGCTGATGGTGGTGGTGGTTGTGATAATGGTGGCGATGCTGATGATAGTGCCTATGTTGTTGGATATGCTGATGGTAATGATTATGCTGATGACGTTGAGGAGGGGAAGGAGGAGGAGGAGCCGGATTATGAAGATGGGGATGATGACGCAGATGATGATGTTGCTGATTCTGATGATTGTGATGATTACGCTGATGCTGATGGTGGCGGTGACGACGATGATAATGGTGATGCGGGTAATGAGGATGACGACGCTGATGATGATTCTGATTATGATGCTGCTGCTGATGATGATGATGGTGGTGGTGATGATGATGGTGGCCATGCTGATGCTGGTTCGGGTGGTGATGACGCTTCTGCTGATGATGATGATGATGCTTACGATGCTGCTGATGAGGATGGTGGTGGTGACGATGCTGATGATGCTGATGATGATGGTGATGGTGACGATGATGTCGCTGATCATGGTGATGGTGTATGCTGATAACGATCAGTATGATGAGGATGATGATGATGATGCTGGTGATGATGGTGATGTTGTTGACGATGATGATGGTAATGGTACTAGCGATGCTGATGCTAATATTGCTGATAGTGATGATGATAATGATGATGTTGCTGCTGCTGATGATGATGCCGATGTCGACGACGACGACGCTGATGATGAATCTGATACTGCTAGTGATGCTTGTGATGCTGATGCTGCTGATGATGATGCTGGTGACGATGATGTCGATGTCGACGACGACGAGGATGAGTATGCTGATGACGATGATGATGATGATGATGATGCCGATGGTGACGATGTCGATGACGATGGTGCAGATGAGGATGACTTTGGCGGCGGCGGCGAGGATTCTTATGATGGCGACGATGACGATGATGATGTTGCTGCTGGTGATGATGACGGAAACGCTGATGCTGCTGATGATGATGACGACGGAGATGATGCTGATGACGATGAGGCTGATGACGAGACTGATGATGATAACGACGACGATGATGATGCTGCTGATTATGATGATGGTGATGCCGCTTATGCGGATGATGACGATGATGACGACGATGATGATACTGCTGATGTTGATGATGATGCTGATGACGACGATGTTGATGATGATGATGATCATGTGTATGCTGATGATGGCAATGATGATGAACATCGTGCCGACCGTCATGATCATGTTTTGATTCTGCTGCTGATGATGATTTTCATGATGGTGATGACGATGTCGGCGGTGACGGCCGTGATAATGACGCTGTGTATTCTGCTTATGCCAGCAGTGAGGATGATTGTTATGAGGATTATGAGAATACTGAGATTCATCATAGTAATAAGGACGATGCTGATGATGATGATAATGCTGATGCTGATGCTGATGATGATACTGCTGCTGATGATGATGATGATGATGATGGTGCTGCTGATGATGTTGATGATGGTGGTGATGATGATGCTGATGGTGGTGGCGCTGCTGCTGATGATGAGATGGAGAAGGAGGAGACGGATGCGGCTGCTGCTGCTGCTGCTGATGCTGATGGCGAGAAGGAGGAGGAGGAGGAAGAGGTGGAGGAGGAGGAGGAGGGGGAAGACACAGGGAATGTTGATGGCGAGGTGCAGATGGTTGTGAAGGATGATGTGAAGGATGAGGTGAAGGATGATGTGAAGGAAGGGTCTGGATGAGGAGGGGGAGGATGAGGAGGAACAGGACACGCGTCAGGAGGAGGAGGAGGAGGAGGAGGAGGAGGGGGAGGAGAAGGGGGAGGAGGAGGCGTAGGAGCAGGAAGACGCAGAGGAGTGGTATGAGCACGATGATGGTAATGATGGTGATCGTGATGTTGATGATGATGGTGATTATGATTATGATTATGATGATGGTGATGATGATTATGATGATGATGATGCTGATGCTGTCGATGATGATGACGATGATGATGCTGATGATGATTATGATGATGATGCTAATGATGATGCTGATGATGATGATGATGATGGTGATGATGATGCTGATGCTGATGATGATGACGATGATGATGGGGAGCTGGTAGTAATTCTGTGCCCTTCCGTTGGCTGGCTGACTGACGGACTCGGTTTGGTAGAGTGACTGTCGCCAACGGACATTCCAGGGGATTCAATTTGGGGCCGCGGGCGACCCAAGCACTACCTGCAAGCTCAACTAGGACAACACACAAACACCCACACGAACGCACACACACACACACCCGCACACAGACACACAGACATACACATACACATACACATACACATACACATACACATACGCAGACACATACGCAGACACATACACACATGTACACACACGCAGGCACATACACATACGCATACACAAACACATATGCATACACATACACATACACATATACAAGCACATACACATACACATACACATACACATGCGCGCTGGCGGGGCGGGCGGGGGCGCAGATCACCGTCGGCCCGGTCTCCGGCGGCAGCTCCGAGGGTGGCGCGACCTCGGGGGAAGAGGCGCTCCTCCGCGCGTGCGCCCGCGGCCTCCAGCGGCCAGGTCGTCGGCCCTCGCCGTGGTCGTCGTCGCTCGGTCGTCGTCGTCGGCCCTCGTCGTGGCGTGGTCGTCTTCGTCTCGGTCGTCGCCGTGGTGATTGTCGTCCTCGCGGTCGATGGTCGTGGTCGTGATCGTGGTCGCTGTGGCGGTGGTGGTGTGGTGCCTCACCGTCCTCGTGCTGTTCCTCGCCGTCCTCGTGCTGCTTCGGGAGGAGGAGGAGGAGACACTCTGGGGGAGGATGGGGGAGTTGGAGGGGGGAACCCGGGGGAGGACGGGCGGAGGGGAGGAAGGGAGGAGGAGGGGAATTCAGATGCGGCAGGTGAGGGAGAGGGATGATGCTGACGATGCTGATGATGGTAATGACTATGATGATGCTGATGATGATGATGTTGATGCTGAACACGACGATTATGATGATGATGGTGAGACTGATGATGACGATGATGATGATGCTGATGGTGGTGGCGGTTGTGATAATGGTGGCGATGCTGATGATAGTGCCTATGTTGTTGGATATGCTGATGGTGATGTTTATGCTGATGACGTTGAGGAGGGGAAGGAGGAGGAGGAGGAGCCGGATTATGAAGATGGGGATGATGACGCAGATGATGATGCTGCTGATTTTGGATGACTGTGGTGATTACGCTGATGCTGATGGTGGCGGTGACGACGATGGTAATGTGATGAGGATGACGACACTGATGATGCTGATTCTGATGCTGCTGATGATGATGATGATGGTTGTGGTGATGATTGATGCTGGTGGCCATGCTGATGCTGATTCGGGTGGTGATGACGCTGCTGCTGATGATGATGATGATTACGATGCTGCTGATGAGGATGGTGGTGGTGATGATGCTGATGATGCTGACGATGCTGATGATAATGATGATGGTGATGGTGACGATGATGCCGCTGATAATGGGGATGGCGTATACTGATAACGATCAGCATGATGAGGGGGATGATGATGCTGGTGATGCTTTTGATGTTGATGACGATGATGATGGTAATGGTACTAGCAATGCTGATGCTAATACTGCTGATAGTGATGATAATGATGATGTTGCTGCTGATGCTGATGATGCCGATGCCGACGACGACGACGACGCTGACTATGCAAATGATACTGCTGGTGATGCTTGTGATGCTGATGATGCTGATGATGATGCTGGTGACGATGATGTCGATGTCGACGACGACGAGGATGAGTATGCTGATGACGTTGATGCTGATGCCGATGGTGACGATGTCGATGACGACGGTGCAGATGACGATGACTTTGGCGGCGGCGGCGATGATTCTTATGATGGCGACGATGACGATGATGATGTTGCTGCTGTTGATGATGAAGGGAATGCTGATGCTGCTGATGATGATGACGACGGAGATGATGCTGATGACAATGAAGCTGATGACGAGACTGATAATGATAACGACGACGATGATCACACACACACACACACGCTTGGGGGCCGCGGGCGAACCCGACGCCGCAACTGGGCACACACAGGGGGCCGCGGGCGACCGCAACGGCAACGGCAACCCGCAACTGCAACTCGGAACCAGCACTGGGGGACGCACACGCGGGGGCGGCGGGCGACCGCAGCCGTAGCGACGGGCATTCCCCATGCGCGCTTGAAGACCTCCGACACGACGGCGGCGTCGCCGTTTCTCGGCGACCACGACCACGGCCACGGCGGCGGCGGCGTCGACGACTTCGCGGGCGGCGGTGGCGGCGGCCACGACGACGGCGGCCACGTCGACGACGGCGGCGGCGACGACGGCGGCGACGGCAACGGCGGCGACGGCGGCGGCGACGGCGGCGGCGGTGACGACTCGACGGCGACGACCCGACGGCGACGGCGGCTGCGTCGCCGGCGACGGCGATGGCGGCGACGGCTGCGGCTGCGGTGACGGGGGCGCAGATCACCGTCGGCGGGGTCTCCAACAGCAGCTCCGAGGGTGGCGCGACCTCGGGGGAGGAGGCGCTCATCCGCGCGTGCGCCCGCGGCCTCCAGCGGCCAGGTCGTCGGCCCTCGTCGTGGTCGTCGTCGCTCGGTCGTCGTCGTCGGCCTTCGTCGTGGCGTGGTCATCTTCGTCTCGGTCGTCGCCGTGGTGATTGTCGTCCTCGCGGTCGTCATCTGCCTCATCGGCCCTCGTCGTTATCGCCGTCGTCGGCACTCGTTGTCGTCGTGGTCGTGGTCGTGATCGTGGTCGCTGTGGCGGTGGTGGTGTGGTGCCTCACCGTCCTCGTGCTGTTCCTCGCCGTCCTCGTGCTGCTTTCGGGCGGCCAACGGAAGTCCGTGCAGTGTGCGAGCGGCCGCGAACACTCTCACACGTTCACGCACGCGAGCGCGCTCAGTCGCACTTCTCCCTGCTCTGACGAGGTGGCAAGGCCGTCGCGAGACTTCGAACGGGACGCGGTCCAACGTGCTGGCATGCACCCAGCCTCGTGGCTGGAGAGCAAGCGGAGGTTTGCCCGCCTTCGTGCGAATGACTGCGTGGAGCCCGCGGGGTGGAAGAGCAACTCAGTTGCGCACGCGGAGTCCCACACGTGCAGGGCGGATGTTCGGCCAAGACGCGCGACGCAGCCCAGCCACCGAGACGGGAGGGACAATGCCTGGCTGCAGTGGGCCCAGCACTAGCTGAGGCCAGCGTGTTCTCGGATGCCAGTGCAATCGCGGCCTCCTCCTCCTCCTCCTCCTCCTCCTCCTCTTCCTGCTCCGCCCCCTCCTCCTCCTCCTCCTCCTCCTCCTCCTCCTCCTCCTCCTCCTCCTCCCTTTCCTCCTCGAACACTTTCGGCCGTCGCGGCCAGGCGCACCGTCGTGGCGTCACTGAGAAGTCGCCGGCGCGCACGCGCCGGCAGGGGAAGGCGAGGAGCAGGCCGCCCCCTCGCGGGGCAGCAGCGGGCGGCGGAGGGCGCCGGGGCGTGGGGCGGGGCAGCGGGGGGGCAGGGAGCGGAGTCGGGGCGTGGGCGTCTGTCCAGTGAGGGAGCGGCGTTGGGAGCGCGTCGATCAGGAGGGAACAGACACACAGACACAATTCATCGTCGATTCCCCCGAAACTGTGGGAGAAGATGGGAAGTGGGGGGGGAGACCAAAGCCAAGAAAATACAGGATAATCTAGGGAATCCTGTTGTTTGTGTGTATTTATCTGTGTGTGTCCCAAGGCCCCTTCAGTCGAGGGCGTCGTCAGGAGTCTGCCCGTGGAGCCCGGGAGCAACAGCGAGGGCACCGGCTGGCTGCCCCTGTGCGGGGGTGTGGCCGCCCGCGGAGCCGGAGGCAGAGGTCCCCGCACACGAGGGGGCCACATGCGAACCCTACCCCTACCCCCCACGATTTCTGAGGGGGAGGGTGGGGTTCACTTCGCTCGGGAGCTCCCGAGCGAAGTGAGCGAAGTGAACCCCACCCTCCCCCTCAGAAATCGTGGGGGGTAGGGGTAGGGTTCGCATGTGGCCCCCTATCGAGGGAAGCCCGCGCGCCCCCAGAGGGGCCAGAAGGGAGGGGGGAGGGCCGGCAGGGGCGTTGACCCGGGAGCGGGCCCGACGGCCTGCAAGGAAGGGGCCGGGAGGAGGGTGGGAGCCTCCACGTATCCTCTGCAGCGCGAGGGGCAGAAGCGGGGGCCCGGCTCCTGCACGGGGAGACCTTCGGCGGGACCGGCAACGGCAACCTCTTGCCGGGGAGACCTCGATCCCCCCGGGGGAAAGCCCGCGCGCCACTAGAGGCGCAAGAATGTCAAAGCTTGAGGCTCATCAATGGTGAGGAAGTCTCAAGCGAAACACCCGGCCCGCCCTTTCGACCAGCCTCGGGGTGCGACAGGGAGGACTTATCTATAAAGAAAAGGAACGGAGCAGGCGGAGGTGGATGAGGTGGATGCGGAGGCGCAGGCGGAGGCGGAGGACGAGGATGAGGAGGACCAGGAGGAGGAGGTTGCGGAGGAGGTTGCGGAGGAGGAGGAGGAGGCGGAGGAGGAGGCGGAGCAGGTGGAGGAGGAGGCGGGTGAGGAGGAGGAGGAGGCGGAGGCGGAGGAGGGAGGCGAAGGAGCAACAAGGACGAGGGAGAGGGCTTGAGGGCGAGGGGCGGCGCGCGAGACTGCGCGCGGGCCCCGCCGCAGCCCGCTGGCGAGGCGGCCGCCGACGAGGCCGCCGCCGGAGAGACGACCGCGGCGCCGACTGCGAAGACGAGCGTGGAGGCCATCGCTGCTGCTGCTGCTGCTGCTGCTGCTGCTGCTCAGTGACACGGATGCCGTCGTCGTGGTCGTTTCGTCGTCATCGTCATTGTCGTCGTCGTCGTCGTCGTCGTCGTGGTTTAGAGGTCGTCGGGCGTCCTCATCCTGCTCCTCCTCCTCCTCATCATCCTCGTGCTGCTGCTGCTCCTCCCCACTCGTGGTGTCTTCCTCGTGGTGTCTTCCTCTTCCTCGTGGTGTCTTCCTCTTCCTCGTGCTGCTCCTCCTTCGTCCCTCTTCCTCGTGGTGCCTTCCTCGCCCTCCGTCGCTGCGCAAGGGCAGGACGGCGCCGAGCCGGCGGCGACAGCGCTGCCGTCGTCGAGAGTCTGCTGTGTGAGCGTCCAGGCCGACAGCGCCTCAACTGTGCAGTGCCGTTTTTAATACATGCTCCGCGTGCGGATCATGTATTAAACATGCAGGGATTCAGTACCAAACACAACGATGAGTTCATGCATACATTTATTCATACATTAGTCATGTATTAAAATCATGTTTAATCCTATGTATTAAAAAATGCCCTGTATTGTTCTGTGCTCTAGAACCTCTTCGCTGTCGCACCCCGGGACGCATTGTCGAGGCGAGCGGGGCATTCTGCCAGATTCGCATAGGGTCCCGAAGCTTGCAACATCCGGCAGCTGCACTGGTTGGAGCACGAAGGAGAGGTCGACGGAGGAGGAGTGGGAAGAGGAAGCGGAGGACGAGGACGAGGAGGAGGACAAGGACGAGCATGATGACGAGCAGGAGGGGGAGTGAAATCAGAAGGAGGGGAAGAAAACACAAACGGGATGAGCAGGATCACGAGCAAGAGAAGGACGAGGAGACGGAGGAGAAGGAGGAGGTGGACGAAGAGGAGGATGATGATGAGGAAGAAGAGGAGAAGGAAGAGGAGGAGGAGGATGAGAAGGAAGAGGAGGAGCAGGAGCAGGGCGTGCATGACGAGGGGGAGGAGGAGGAAGACGAACATGAGGAGGAGGAACAGGAAGAGGAGGAGGAGGATAAGAAGGAGGAGGAGGAGGAAGAGGAGGAGGAGGAGGAGGAGGAGGAGGAGAGGAGGAGGACGAGGAGGAGGAGGAGGAGGGAGAGGAGGAGAAGGAGGAGGAGGAGGTGGAGGAGAGGGAGGAGGAGGAGGTGAGGAGGAGGAGCAGCAGCAGCAGGAGGAGCAGCAGGAGCAGCAGGAGCAGCAGGAGGAGGCGGAGGAGAAACCCAAACCGCAGGAGCAGAAGCAGGAGAGGAGGGAGGCGGAGGAGGGGATGATGATGATGATGATGATGATGATGCTGATGATGATGATGATGATGATGATGATGCTGATGATGATGATGATGATGATGATGATGATGCTGATGATGATGACGACGATGGTGATGATGATGATGATGCTGATGATGATGACGACGATGATGATGATGATGATGATGATGATGATGCTGATGATGATGATGATGATGATGATGATGATGATGATGATGATGATGATGATGATGATGATGATGATGATGATGATGATGATGATGATGATGATGATGATGATGATGATGATGATGATGAGGAGGAGGAGGAGGAGGAGGAGGAGGAGGAGGAGGAGGATAAGGAAGAAGAGGAACACCATCTTGAGGCATCTTAGGCTATCTTGAGCCATCTTGGAGGTCATGTTGCGCTTGCTGAGGCCCTCTTGGAGCCGTATTGGGTGGACAAACACCCTCTGACACCTCGCGGGGTGCCCCCCTGCAGGTCCAGGGGAGGGGGTCGGGGGAGTGGTCAAGACCCCCCCCGCCCGCAAGCCGCCTCGCTCACTCCCACCCGCCCTCCCAACACATACGTAGCACCCGAGTCTGGCCCGAGCCTCAGCATATTCAGCAGTCTTTTTTGGATGGGCAGCTACTGGGGGCCAATCCGCCGCCGCCGCCGCCGCCGCCTCCGCCGCTGCCGCCGCCGCCGCCGCCACAGGCGCCGCCGCCGCCGCCGCCGCCGCTGCCCGCCGCCGCCGCCGCCGCGCGCCGCCGCCGCCGCCGCCTGCCGCCGCCGTGCCGCCCGCCGCCGCCGCCGCCGCCGCCGCAACCACTGCCGCCGCAGCCGCTGCCGCCGCCACGCGCCGCCGCCGCCACCGCCGCCGCCGCCGCAGCCGCCGCCGCCGCAGCCGCCGCCCCCGCCGCCGCCGCCGCTACCGCCGCTACCGCCGCCGCCGCCGCAGCCGCCGCAGCCGCCGCCGCCGCCGCCCCCGCCGCCAAGTGTATTCTGTATCGTTTTTTGACAGGGGTGGTGGGGGGAGGCCGCATCGGTTTGGTTGCGCATGCTCCAGATTTGGAGGCAGAGTGTGTTTTGTATGGTTTTTGTTTGCAAGGGATGGTGGGGGGTGCCCTCATGGTTCCTGGTTGGCTACTAGTCGCCTGGGGGAGGGGGTGTTTATTGATAGGGAGCAGTGATCGGCCCCTCCCCGAAGGGGAAGAAGGGGGTTGGAAGAGAAAGCTCTCTAGACCACCTACGCCCTAAAAGGCTTGTGGGACTATCAGCGGGCTCAATCCCAGTAGCCTATTGTGCGTAGGTGGTCTAGGGAGTTTCCTCTTCCAACCCCCTTCCTCCCCTTCGGGGAGGGGTTTACCCCTCCCTCCTCCCCCCTCCCCTGGACCTGGACGGGGCGCACCGCGAGGTGTCACAGGGTACTTGTTCGCCCAAGACGGCTCCAAGAGGGCCTCAGACAGCCCAACATGACCTCCAAGAAGGCCCAAGATAACCCAAGATGCCGCAAGCCGGCCCCCACGATGCCCCAAGAGGTTCCGCGAAATTTCCAAGACGGCTCCAAGACGCCTCCGAGACCTCCAAGGAGGCCTCCAAGAAACCCAATGCTTCCCACACCCAGGGAACACAACAATGTATTAGTGTTTCGCCTTTTCGCTTCCATGGCCATCCGAGATGGTTCCAAGGTGGCCCAAGAGGGCGGCCCCAGGAGAAACCCAAGAGAGCCCCAATACGGCTTGAAGAGCACCAAAGAGCGCTCCAAGAGCGCCCCAGGAGCGGCCCATGAGGCGATTCTCGGGGCTCCCGAAGGGAAAACTAATTGGAACTCTCTTTTGTCGATCGATATCCTCCAAGATGGCCCCAATAGCGCCCCAAAAGTTCCCAAGAGCGACCCAAGAGGGCCCCGAGAGGCGCCCAGACGGCCCCAAGAGGCGTCCAGGAAGCCTCCAAGAAGCTCCCGAGAGAGCCCCAAAAGGCTTCAACAGGATGCCCGAGGCACCCAAGACGCTCAAAAACGGCCTTGGGCTCGCCAAGATGCCTTTTCTCCTCCTCCTCCTCCTCCTCCTTGTCCACTGTCTCTTCCTCCTTCCTCCTCTTCGCCCTCCTCCTCCTTCTCCGCCTCCTCCTTCTCCTCCACCATCCTTCCTTTCTTGGGGTATTTGACGGCTTCCCCCGCCTTTTGTTTCCCCCATATCCTATCATATGGGGTTCTTGTTCTTCCTTGGACGCCTCCTACTCCTCCTTCATCTTTTTCTTCTCCTCCTCCTCCTCCTCCTCATACCTAGACTTACTCATACACAGAGTTACTCATACACAGACTTACCCATACTCATACTTGACCGTATTGACTTATTCACATTCAGACTTACTCATACCCAGGCCGACTCATACTCAGACTTTCTCATGCTGAGACTCACTCATACCCAGACTTACTCAGAGTCAGACCTTCCCATTGTCTGACTTACTACTCAACACAAAGCAGATTGTGAGGAGGTCTCAGGCGGGACGCTGGTTCCAGCACCCCACGGGGAACCGCCAAGGGGTATGACACGGTCCCGTTCGCGGCCGTTTTGTGGGGATGCCTCAAGCGATTTGCCTGTTGTTTGTCCCAACATCCTTCGCTTGGAGAGCAGAGTGTGAGGGTGTCTCAGGCGGGGTGCTAGTTTCAGCACCCCTACGGGGAGCCGCCGAGGGGTATGACACGGTCCCGTTCGCGGCCGTTTTGTGGGGATGTCTCAAGCGGTTTGCCTGTTGTTTGTCCCAACATCCTTCGCTTGGAAATCAGAGTGTGAGGATGTCTCAGGCGGGGCGCCGGTTCCAGCACCCCTAAGGGGAGCCGCAGAGGTGTATGACACGGTCCCGTTCGCGGCCGTTTTGTGGGGATGTCTCAAGCGGTTTGCCTGTTGTCTGCCTCAACACCCTTCGCTTGGATAACAAATTGTGAGAATGTGTCAGGCAGGGCGCTGGTTTCACCACCCCTAGTGGGAGCAGCCAAGAGTGCTTTCACGGCTCCGTTCGTCGCCGTTCTATGGGGATGCCTCTAGCGGTTTGCCTGTTTTCTGCTTTTGCGTTGTGTCCCGAGTGGTTCTCCCCGTTGCGTACGGCGGTCAAGGAGGAGTGGCCAGGTGTTGTTTTCGCAGGGCTTGTCTCACCGTGGGATGTTGCTTTCTCCTTCCGTGGTGCTTTCCAATATTATCGTCGTCGGCGGGAGAGGGAACTTGAGAAGGTTCATTCCCGCGCGGGCTGGGGAGGGAACTTGAAAAAGGTTCACTTTCTAGCTGCGGGAGAGGGAATTTGAAAAGGTTCACTGTCCCGCTTGTGGTCGGAGTGGAGAGGGAACTTGAAAAAGGTTCATTCTCCAGGCAGGGACAGGGCACTTGAAAAGGTTCACTTTCCCTCGTGTGGTCGGACTGAACAGGGGGGAACTTGCAAAGGTTCACCCGTCAGTCGCGAGAAAGGGAACTTGCGAAGGTTCACTTCTCCGCGTGCGATCGAACTGGGGAGGGAACTTGAAAAAAAAGGTTCGCTCTCCAGGCGGGGGAGACGGAAATTGAAAAGGTTCACTCCCCCTCTTGTGGTCGGACTGAAGGGGGAACTTGAAACAGGTTCACCCTTCAGCCGCGGGAAAGGGAACGGTTCTTCGCAAGAAAAGAAGGGGGAAGTTGAGACGGTTCACCCGGCAGCCGCGGAAAAGTTCACCCTTCAGCTTTGGGAGCGCGATGCCAATGAATTCTTTGCTTTTGCAAAAAAGATGCGCTGATATATGCTTGCGGGTGAACATATACATGTGTTGGATGTGCAGCCGAGCTGCGCGCGCTTGTGCTCGTCGCTCACGTAGACGCGCTCTTATAAAAGACTCATAGACGTATGTTCACCATAGTACTACCCTAAACTATGAGATGCGCATGTGGTTCGTATGGCTAGACGCTCAGTTAACTATCCCAAATCCAATCTTACCTTTTAGCAAGGATGCACATATGGGGAACTCCACGCAGTGAGTAATTCTGCGTGCTCCCCAGTTTCCCTGGTCCCCCCAACTCCCCTGGGCATTTTTTCTGGATGGGCTGGTGGGGATACGCGAAGCGTCAACAATATTGGGGCGACCGTCACATACCAACAGGGTTGCGGCGTTTCACCGCGTGTGTTGAGGGTTCCCGAAATATCCCTCATAAATGGCAACCGCCAGAAGCAGCGGACAATTTTTACATACTTGCGTTGCTGCTCGTTTCCACATCCAGGTATTTGTGCCGGAAGCGGTGTTGATCACCGCTATCATCATCATTATTGCCGTGCACACGGGCGTTGTCGGCTCCATGCCCCCCCTCTCCTTATCCATCCTTTCTTTCTCGTCTTTGCTGCCGCTGTCCAGGCTTGGGTCGATGGGCGGCACCCCTCGCCCTTTGTTCTGCCTCCGCCCCGCTGACTTGGCCCTGATGAGCAGTCTGTGCGTTGTGTGTTCACCGCGACGCGTCCAACCCACAACGTTTGAGTTGGTTGTGGCTTCGATTGCGCCCGGAGCTATCAGCATCGACTTCAAAGGCCAGCATTTTGTCACTTCCGAACTACGTCTTCTACGGCTTACCCTCCGACGCTCAGGAAAGCAACAGGCTAGGGTGGAGATTGTGATTGACAAGAACGGCACACGTTCGCTTGCGAGCAGTTGCAGGGGTGGCCAGCTCGTAGGTGGCCTACGGTATTGCTTGGAGAGCGCTCTGGACCCTGCGGCGTCTGCCGCAAAGCGGCGCCGCCAGGTATGAGCACGGTCTCTGTTTCAGTTTTTATAGCTTCACAAGTCGAGTTGCTAGGCTGTAGTCTTGACTCCGCTGCTCTGCTTGCGTCTTGAGAAGTATACCGTTGCCTTGTCGCTCGTGCTGTTAACATGTGAGCCGAAGGGGGGGCGCTATATTGTAGCGGAAAGGATCAGGATGAGAAGGAGGGCGTTTCAGTCGTGGGCTCTAGCTGTGCCCCCTCCACTTCCTCATCCACCTCTTGTTTTGTTGTTGAACATTATTTCTTCTTAAGAATAATTATTGTTGGGGCCCCTGGTGCGCGACCCCCCCGCCGCGCCTAGGCCGCAGCCTCATTTTCATCATTTTCGTGAGGAAGTCTCAGGCAAAACGGGTTGGTCCGGATCCGGTTGTGTTGTTACGATCGGTTTTCCCTTGCAAAAAATAAGCTAAAGTGGACATTTCTTGTTCTAACATAACCAAACTTCAAGAATCCCTTGCAAAAAATAAGGTAAAGTGGACATTCGCGCGCGCAAGACGAAATCCTTCCAAAACCTTAGTGTTCGTAGCGATTTTAACATAAAAACATCAAACAAACCAATGGTTTTTCAACAAAAAAATGTCAAAATCTCATCCCGCGCGCTCTTGCGGATTCGTAGGAAACCCAACACTTTTTAAACATTTCTGTCAAACGGGCTTTTGCGAGCAACTTTTTCGAACTTCTGCAACAACGGTTGCGCACCTGCCAGGGCCATCATCCCTGTCAAATAATACCATGCGGGACACATTCGTTTTTTCTTCGCGCGCGCACGCCGTCGTCGTCGGCCGCGGGGCCCTGAATAGTAGCCACGGTCGTCCGCATGCCACGAAGTGAAGTGTCCGAACGTCATAGGGCGGGAAGCTGGGTGTGGGTGGTGGCGAAGAGTCGTTTGGAAATTTGGTAGAGCTTGAACCGGCCCCCCCACAAAGTGGGGGTATTGCCCGCCTCCTATGAAAACCCTGGCACTGGTGAGAACGGTGTGTCCCCACGTGCTAGTAATTGTTGGTTGTTGTTGTTGTTGTTGGTTGTTGGTTGTTGGTTGTTGGTTGTTGGTTGTTGGTTCTTGGTTCTTGGTTCTTGGTTTTTGGTTCTTGGTTGTTGGTTGTTGGTTGTTGTTGTTGTTGTTGCTGTTGTTGTTGTTGTTGTGGTTGTTGTTTTTTGTTGCTGTTATGTGTTATTATTGCGTCACGGAGCCAATCTTCACTCCGCCCCAGCGTCGGCGGGCCAAAACCGAGCCATGAGCCCTCCTGCGTGTTTGTGTTTTCTGCGCTGTCCCGTGGCGTTTTTTAGCCCTGCTTGGCCCGTGCGATGCGATCCGGAGGGGACAAACGAGGAGGATACTTGTCGTCCCCAGTGCTTACACATTCTTCATTTCTCATTATTCGGAACCCTTTTTTTTGGGTGGGGGCAAGATCCTTCATTTCTAATTGCTCTATCCTGGGCCTGTTCCTGGCCACTAGGGGGCCAGGAACAAGTAGAAACGAGCACAAGTATAAATCAGCACGATAAGAAATGAACGACGTGTTCAGGTTGGAAACTGTGCACCTGTGCCAGACCAACTACTGCTGCTTCAAGCGATGGAGGGGACCGAAGGCCAGCAGAGGCGTCTCGCGTGACCGCTCGCGCGCAGGCTGATCTCCTAGCAGTGGGCATTCCCAGTCGTCGCTTCCGCAACATCAGTCTCGCAGGATTCCCGTATCTCGCCTCGTCTCATCTTCTTCTCTTCGTGCCCCTCCATGAAGTGCTGCGCCCATATAGAGCGCCAAGGGCTAGGCAGCAGTACGCTGCTTAGAAGACAGGTGCAGAGGTAGGATTCGATACGACACGGAGCTCCTCCGCGCGGCACTTTTTTCACTTGCACTGGGCGCGGGCGCTCCAGGAGTGGCACGTCCTCGCCACCCATACTGCGTGCGATCCTGCAGTGCACACGCCAGCGCGAACGACACAGGCATGCCTTCAGGCCCGCTCCGTGCCAAACAGGTGCACGAGGAGGAGGAGGAGGAGGAGGAGGAGGAGGAGGAGGAGGAGGAGGAGGAGGTGCAGAAGGAGGAGCAGGCCGAGGAGGACCGGGAGGAGGAGCCCGAATGGGAGGACCAGGAGCAAGGGCAGGATGGCGATGCGCAGGAGCACGAGGAGGAGCACGAGCAGGAGGGCCGCGCGCGAGAGGAGCACGAGGAGGAGCACGAGGAGGAGCACGAGGAGGAGCACGAGGAGGAACAGGAGGGCAGGAAGGCGAACGGCCATGGACACCGCGCGCCGCAGCCCGCCGCCGAGCCGGGCGCCGACAACGAGGCCGCCGACGGGCCCTCCGCGGCGACGACGGCGCAGCCGGACGCCGAGGCGCGCGCCGCCTTCTGGTGATGCTGCGCGACGACGACGACGACGGCCATGACGACGACGACGACGACGACGACAACCACGACCACGACCACGACCACGACCACGACCACGGCCACGACGACGGCGACGACGACGGCGACGACGACGAAGACGACTGCCACGACCACGACGACCACGACGACCACAACTACGACCACGACCACGACCACGACCACGACGACTCTCTGGGACCTTCGCTGATCCCCTCCTGCTTCTCGTCCTCTCTCATTCCTTTCTTCCTCCTCCCTCCTCCACTTGAGTCTTCCCCCCTCCTCCCTCCTCGTCCTCCTCCTCCTCCTTCTCATTCTCATCCCTCCTCCTCCTCCCTCCTCGTTCTTCTTCTTCTTCTCCTCCTCCTCCTGCCCCTCCATCCTGAGGTTTCAGGGCCGATGACGAGAAGGCGCTTGTGTATTGTCAGGGTTTTTTCAGGACTGGGGGTCTGTGGATGCCTCCAGAGGCCTCTGGGGAGCCGAAGGGTGGAGCAGAAGGGGTGGAGCACAAGGGATTGTGCTCCACACCTTATGCTCCACCCTTCGGCTCCGCACTGATTCCCCCTCCTCTCCTCCTCCTCCTCCTCCTCCTTCTCGTCCTTTCCGTCCTCCTCCTTCTCCCCCCTCCTCCTCCTCCGCCTCATCCTCCCCTACTCCTCCTCCACCTCCCTCTTCCTCCTCCTTCCCCCTCCTCCTCTTCTTCCTCATCCTCCTCTCCTCCTCCTCCTCCTCCTCATCCCCCTTCTTCGCTTTCGGTCGCGGACGGAGGGCGAGGAGGATGGTGGTGGTGGTGGTGGTGGTGGTGCTGAAGGTGTGTGCGTGTGTTAGAGATAAAGTTTGAGGGGGAGAGAGAGAGAGAGAGAGAGAGACAGAGAGAAAATAATAACGTGAGAGAGAGAGAGAGAGAGAGAGATGACGAGCGGGAGAGATAACAACAAGCAGCCTCAACTGGAGTCGGAGCAAGAGAAGGATGATTATGAGTACGAGGACTACGATATGGGCGGATGGGGGATGAGAAGGCGGAGGGGTAGAATGAGGAGGGCAAGGACGAAAGCTACCAGGACAAGGGGAAGGATTATGACGAGGACGAACAGTAAGAGGATAAGGAAGATGAGGAAGAGGAGGCGGACGACGAGCAGGAGATCGCGACAGAGGACAAGCGGGGAAAGAAGAAGAGGTCACGAGGACGAGACGAGGAGGGCGAGTATGAGGACGAGTAGAAAGACGAGGAGGAGGATGCAGAAGGAGGAGAGGAGTGAGCAGGACAAGCACGAATCGGAGCAGCAGGAGCTCGAGCAGGAGGACGACGAGAATCAGGAGGAGGAGGAGGAGGAGGAGGAGGAGGAGGAGGAGGAGGAGGAGTCTAAGATGTGTCAGAGATGCTGCAATACGCCTTCCGGTCCCCAGTTCCCTCCAAAGTCCCAAGCCCGCCTTGACACACGGGACGGCCCGTGGGTCTGCCGTTCCGATAGGCCTCGTTTTGTACAGGACCAAAATTCCACCCGCCCAGTGTTAGGACATGGGACAGGGGAGCGGCTTCGAGTTCAAGGAAGTGATTCTTCGCCACAGCTGCGCTCCGAGCGTTGCACACTCGCGCGATCGTTTGTGCAAAAGTTCGGGGGCGTCGGAGGCAAGAGCACCACCAACAGACAACTTCCGCCCCCCATCCGTGTAGCTGTTGCGCATGCTGGAATCTGGGTCATTATTTCCAGGACGTCTTAAGCGGGCGCCCCATTTCGAAAGCGAACCTCCCTCCTTCCATCCGTGTAACTGCCGCAAGTTTTTACTGCGAATTGGCTTGGTGCTACGGGGAGAGCTTGCACTCCCTCAATTTTCTTGGTTGTTTTTTCCCAACCATCCTTTTGGTGTTGGGTCCTCGTTTTGAAGAGACAGCGCCCCGCGTCTTTTTCTTCCTCCTGCCTCCTCTTTCTCATCCTCCCCCTCTTTTCTCCTCCATCATCCTCATCTTCATCATCATCATCCGCATCATCAGCATCATCATCATCATCATCATCATCATCATCATCATCATCATCATCATCATCATCATCATCATCATCATCATCATCATCATCACGCCAGAATCTTCACCCGTGCGTCCCCCCATCCACGTGGGCACACCCTCACACGATTTGTAGCCCCATATGGCGCTCCACCGAGGGCCCTAGTGGCTACACTCGCATGCGTCTCCCTCGCCCAGCACAGCGCTTCGTGGCCCCATAGGGAGCTCCACCGAAGGCCCCGGTGGCGAAACTCTCATGCGTCTCCCCCGCCCAGCACAGCGTTTGGTGGCCTCATAGGGAGCTCCACCAAAGGCTCCAGTGGCTGCACTCGCATGCGTTTCCCCCGCCCAGCACAGCGTTTCGTGGCCTCATAGGGAGCTCCACCGACGGCCCCAGTGGCCGCACTGAAGTACCCGCCATCATCACGGAAGCGAGTGAGGACGGCCCCGAGCTCCTCGATGAAGCCCTTCAGCTGCGCTCCCAGCTCACGCGTGGCGCACGAGATGGGGACGTACACCTGATTCGTCAGCATCCCATGGCTCCCCTGCGCTGCGCCCCCCCCCCCCACGTGCGCGCGAGGATGGCCCTCCTGGGCCAGGAGGGGCTAGGTGGAGGAGGAGGAGGAGGAGGAGGAGGAGGAGGAGGAGGAGGAGAGGAGGAGGGGAGGAGGAGGAGGAGAGGAGGAGGAGGGAGGAGGAGAGGAGGAGGAGGAGGAGAAAGGGGAGGAAGGAGGCCGGAGCGAGGAGGGCAGGAGATGAGCAGAGGAGGAGGAGAAGGAGGAACAGGAGGAGGAAGAGGAGGAGGAGAAGGAGGAAGGAGGAAGGAGGAAGGAGGAGGAGGAAGAGGAGGACGACGAGGACCAGGACCAGGACGAAGACGAGGACCAGGACGAAGAGGAGGAGGAGGAGGAGGAGGAGGAGGAGGAGGAGGAGGGAGGAGGAGGAAGTGGAAAAGGAGGAGGAGGAGGAGGAGGAGGAGGAAAGCGACAGGAAGGGGCAGGATCAGGAGCAGGAGGGACTGGGGCAAGAGCAGGAAACACGGAGGGCAGAAGGCGAGGCGCGCGATGGAGGGCGTGCCGCCCCGCCGCAGCCGGTCGGCGAGCCGGCCACCGACGAGCTGGCCGGCGACGAGACGACCGCGGCGCCGACGGCGAAGCCGGCCGCGGAGCCCCGAGACGCTGCTGGTGCGTGATGACGGCGGCGGCGTCGGCGGCGACGACGACGACGTCGACGACTTTCGGATGCTTTTTTGGGCCTCCTCCTCCTCGTGCTGCTGCTGCGCCCTCCGTCCCTCCTCCTCTTCCTCCTCCTCCATCTCCTCCTCCTCATCCTCTACTGGGCACACTTGACCTCCTCATCCTCGTCCTTGCTTCACCACCGCCCACTCCTCCTCCTCCACCTCCTCTACCTTCCTCCATCTCCTCCTCCCTCGCCTCCTTCCGCTCCACCTTCTCCTCCTGCCCCGCCGCCGCCTCCTCCCTCTTCTCCTAATATTTCTCATCCTCGCTCCTCCTAGCCACCTTGTTCCTCCCCCACCTCCCCCTCCTGTTCCCCCCCCCCTCCATCCCATTTCCTCATAAGTAACTCCGTCCTGTCGCGCCCCCCTAGACGTGTCGGTAGGGCCGGCGGGGCGTTTCGCCTGAGACTGTCTAGTTGGTCATGATCCTGAACCTTGAAATTTGCATCAGTTTCACGTTTCACAGATGGAGGGCGGGTTGTTTTCAAAATGTGGCCCTCGCTTTAGCGCCGCTCGCATTCGTGTCAAAAGCTTGCAACATGTTTGAGGATGGAGGGTGGCCCCCTTCAAACATAGCTCTCGCTCCGGCGTCGCGGCCTTTTTGCTCAAGTTCGAAGCCCATTCAAGGATGGAGGGCGGTTCATTTTCAAAGCGTGGCTCTCACTTCAGTGCCGCGCGCATTCTTTTTAGAACATGTCACAGCTTCAAGGATGAAGGGCGGCCGTTTTTTGAATGAATTTTCGTTTTGGTGCGGCCCACATTCTTTTCAAACGTTTGCTTGCAGCAATATCCAGGGTGGAGGGCGGTTCCTTTCAAACTGTGGTTTTCGCTTTCGCGCCGCGCAAATTCGTGTTGGAAGTTTACAGCAGTTTCAAGAATTGGTCGGGTCGAAGTGCCAGGAATGGGTTGATGGTACGGTTTTGCATGGTGAGGTCGCGCAAACCACATGTGCTCTGGCACGTTTTGGGGATTGTCAGAGCGTACTAGTCACGGTGATTCGCGGCGATGATGTCCCCGGAAGGGCCCTTTGGCACGACTGAGGATTCTCAGACTGTTGTATTCACATGGGGCATCTCCCGCAATGAACAATGAAGGGAGGAGGGAGGAGGGAGGAGGGAGGAGGAGGAGGAGGAGTGGAGCAGGGAGGCAGGGAGGGAGGAGGGACGGAGGGAGGAGGGGAGGAGGGTATGAGGGAGGAGGAGGAGAGGAGGGAGGAGGGGGCGGAGGGAGGAGGAGGGAGGAGGGTAGGAGGGGAGGGAGGAGGAGGGAGGAGGGAGATGGGAGGAGGGAGGAGGGAGGAGGGAGGCGGGAGGAGGGAGGAGGGAGGAGGGAGGAGGGAGGAGGAGGCGGAATAGGAGGAGGGAGGAGGGTAGGAGGGAGGAGGGAGGAGGGATGATGGAAGGAAGGAGTAGGGAGGTGAGGGAGGAGGGAGGAGGGAGGAGGAGGAGGCGAGGACGAGGATGAGGAGAGGCACGGCGAGGCGGAGTCCGGAGGCGGAGGAGGAGAGTAGGAGGAGGAGGAGGAGGAGGAGGAGAAGAAAAGAAGAAGAATGACGAAGGATAATCAGCAGAAGCTGACGAAGAGCTACTAATTACGATCAGAACGACTATACTAATACTAATAATACTACAAAGAAGGACGAATACTAATACGACTAAGGTAATACGAATAAGAGTGAGACTAATCAACGACTCCTACACGAATACTACCCTACTATCTACTACTGCGTGCTGCTGCTGCTGCTGCTGCTGCTGCTTGCTATGATACACTACTACTACTACTACTACTACTACTACTACTACACTACGAATACTTTACTACTATACGACTACTACTACTACTACTACGACTACTACTACTACTACTACTACTACTACTACTACTACTACTACTACTACGACGGCGACGACGACGACGACGACGACGACGACGACGACGACGACGACTACGACTACTACTACTACTAATTATACTAAGAATAAGAAGCATCATACTACTACTAATAATAATAAGATTAAGAAGAATACTACCCCGACTAAGAAGAATACGAATACTACTAATACGAAGGCTAAGACGACTACTACTATGACGAATACGACTAAGAATCCTATTCATAAGACGGATAGGAATACCACTCACAATACTAATACTAATAGTAATAATAAGAAGACGAACCATACTAAGAATAAGACCACGAAGACGATGATGATGATGATGATGATGATGAGGAGGAGGAGGAGGAGGAGGCGGAGGAGGAGGAGGAGGAGAATGAGGAGGAGGAGGAGGATGGAGGAGGGAGGAGGGACGAGGGATGAGGGAGGAGTAGGTGGAGACGTCGTAGGAGGAGGAGGAGGATGAGGAGGAGTGAGGAGGGAGGAGGGAGAAGGAGGAAGCGGAGGAGGAGGCGGAGGAGGAGGAGGAGGAGGAGGAGGATGAAAAGGAGGAGGAGGAGGAAAACGAACAAGACTAATATGCAGACGAGGATTAAGACGAATCCTACGACGACGAATCATATTAATAATAAGGAGCCGAATCAGACGAATACTAAGACTTAGAAGAAGACGAATCAGACACTCATACGAGCAATACTGATACTACGACGAAACACGATACTATAACGAAACATACTGATAATACGACGAAGAAGAATAATACTAGTACGAGGAGGATGAGGAGGAAGAGGAGGAGGAGGA